GTCTCATGTAGGGGCAAAGGCTGGATATTGACAAGCCTCGGTCTTCCCTTCATGTTGTATGTGTTCATGTGTCTCCTGGTCCTGGCAGAAAGCTCTCTGACTCACACTGATGTGTACATTTTGCTTTAGTGCACCAGGCTGGGGAAACCCACCCCTTGGCATTACAGGGTTAAAGCTCCATCATCTGTCCTTAGGCACCGGATTTATTGGCTGTGCCCAGTGTATGCTGGACACTTGTGTGGCGCGCCGTTCAGGAGAGATTCCAATGCCACCAGCTGATTAGCAGGGCGACTGCAGCGAGAGTAGCGTTTCTACTGGTGGTGCACATTCACACATGCCTTGGTGCACACCAAAATGTATTCCACACATGTATGGAAAAGATTAGAGGGAACCTTGACTGCATCCTCAGTCTAATCAGTGGCATCAGAGCAATTTTTATAGTGAGGGTGCTGAAGGCAAAAACCATATAATTGGATTGTTATTACTAATTAAGCTGGGGTGCAGCAGCACCATAAAGTTGGAGTGTTCTAGCACCTGTGTGTCTACTTTACTTTAGCTGAGGATTTATACTATGCCCATCACCATTGTATCTGGCCTCATACCAAGGCATCCATCTTCTTTATAGACTCATAGAATTGGAAGATACTTCAGGAGTCATTGAGTCCAGTCCCTGCCCAAAGCAGGACCAATCCCAACTCAATCAACCCAGCCAGGGCTTTGTCAAGCTGAGACGTAAAAACCTCTAGGGATGGAGATTCCACCCCCTCCCTAAGGAACCCATCCCAGTGCTTCACCACCCTCCTAGTGAAATATCCATCCTAGGCCTCCCCCAGCTTGACACCATTGCTCCTCGTTCCACCATCTGTCACCACTGAGAAAAGCCTCTCTCCATCCTCTTTGGACCCCCCTTCAGGAAGTGGAAGGCTGCTACCAAATCCCCCCTCACTCTTCTCTTCTGCAGACTAAACAAACCCAAATCCCTCAGCCTCTCCTCGTAAGTTACGTGCTTCAGCCCCTTCATCATTTTCGTTGCCCTCCGCTGGACCCTCTCCAATGTGTCCACATCATTTCTGTAAAGGAGAGCCCAGAATTGGATGTAGTACTCCAGATGTGGCCTCACCAGTACCTAATAAAGGGGAATAATCACTTCCCTAGATCTACTGGAAATGCTCCTCCTAATGCACCCTAATATGTCATTAGCCGTCTTGGCTACAAGGGCGCCCTGTTGACTCCTATCCAGCTTCTCATGCACTGTAACCCCAGGTCCTTTTCTGCAGAACTGCTACTTAGCCTGTCGGTCCCCAGCCTGTAACAATGATTGGGATTCTTCTGACTCTGCACTTGTCCTTGTTGAACCTCATCAGATTTCTTTTGGCCCAGTCCTCCAATTTGTCTAGGTCACTCTGGACCCTATCCCTGCCTTCTAGTGTATCTACCTCTCCCCCTAGCTTGGTGTCATCTGTAAACTTGCTGAGGGTGCAATCCATCCCCTCATCCAGGTCATTAATAAAGATGTTGAACAAAACCAGTCCCAGAACTGATCCTTGGGGCACTCCTCTTGATCCTGACTGCCAGCCAGATTTTGAGCCGTCGATCACAACCCATCGATCCCGACTATCGAGCCAGCTTTCTATCCACCTTGTAGTCCATTTATCCAATCCATGCGTCCTTAACTTGCTGGCAAGAATAATGTATGAAAAGCCTTGCTAAAGTCAATGTTTATCACATCCACCGTCTTCCCCATGTTCACAGGGCCAGTTACCTTGTCAAAGAAGGCAATCAGGTTGATCAGGCATGACTTGCCCTTGTTGAATCCTTGTAGATTGTTCCTGATCACTTTCCTCTCTTCCAAGTGCTTCAAAATGGGAATCCTTGAGGCTCTCCTCCATGATTTTTCTAGGGACTGAGGTGAGGCTGACTGGTCTGTAGTTCCCTGGGTTTTTAAAGATGGGCAATACATTTGCCTTTTGCCAGTCATCTGGGATTTCCTCCGATTGCCATGAGTTTTCAAAGATAATGGCCAAGGGCTCTGCAGTCACATCAGCCAACTCCCTCAGCACCCTCGGAAACATTAGTTCCACCCCCGTGGATTTGTGTATTTCCAACTTTTCTCCATAGTTCTTAACCTGTTCTTTCTTCACGGTGGGCTGCCTGTCTCCTTCCCATACTGTGTTCCCTAGTGCAGCAGTCTGGGAGCTGACCTAGTCTGTGAAGACAGAGGCAAAGAATGCATTGAGTACTTCAGCTTTTCCCACATCTGCTGTCACTAGGTTACCTCCCTCATCCCCACGCTCTCCCTGAACACCCTCTTAATGCTAACAGGCCTGTAGAATCATAGAACACTAGAACTGGAAGGGACCTCGAGGTCATTAAGTCCAGTCTCCTGCCCTCATGGCAGGACCAAGCACCATCTAGGCCATCCCTGAGCATCTCTTCCATTCGTCCATCAGCGGTGAAGGGGGCAGTGGTCATCCCAGGTCAGCGGGTGGAACGGCTGTTGCAGCCAGTTGTTCTCTAGACACTTACTAGAGCAAGACGCCTGTTGTGCTGTGCCACGGCAGCCTTTGAGCGTGGCTGGTTTGGGTTACACCAGCGTGGCAGTTGTGCCGAGCAGCAGCCTTGCGGGGTGCTTGGGTGGCTGTGTTTGGAGGCTGGCGTTTGGTCCACAGTCAGGGTGTTTTATTAAAGGAAAAGGTACCAAAAAACTGCACACCAATCCACAGGACTCGTCTTTGCTTGCCAGCACTTACGCTGATCCTGCCGTCTCCTTGTTGGTTCTAATCTCTCTCTCTATAAAACACTTTTTAGGACAACAAAGTGATGTCATGTGTCACTCTGCATCCCACAGACTCTCTCTCCACCCGAAGCCACATGGCCTCCCCTTCCCTGCTGTGCCCACCCCGCTCTAGCCCTTGAGATTCCCCTTATCTCCTGTGTGAGGCACATCCCTTCTGCAGCCCAGCAAGCCCCTTCCATGCCGAGCTGACCCGTGTGGCACATTACTGGGCCCGTCTGCTCTGCAGAGTCATCCAGACAGCCCATGTCTAAGCCCTGGCCCAGCCAATGTTGGACGCCCAGAAAACGGGGTGGATTCTTGGTCGGCTGGAGTCCAGAAGGAAGGCTGTGACGGTGGGCGATAGGCTGGAGGCACTCGGTCTGTTTGCAGCACCGTGTATGTATGCCAGCCTGGGTCAGATCACTCTCCCTGCCTGTTTGAAATCAGCAGCCCCCGGCAACAAGCCTTGCAGGCTCCAGTTGAGTAATTGATCTCCAGCCTCCTGGAGATGTGGCGGAGACCTCGAGCTTCCTGACCTTTCCCAGGAAGGAGGAACCACCCCCGGCTAGCATGCCTGAGCCTGTGATGGAGAGGGACAGCTGAATAGCAATGGAGAAGTACCGAAAAGGGTGCTACAAGGAGGAAGGAGACAAATTGTTCTCTGTAAACTGTGAGGACAGGACAATAAGCAAAGGGCTTAAACTGCAGCAAGGGAGGTTTAGGTTGGACATCAGGAAAAACTTCCTGCCTGTCAGTGAGGTTAAACACTGGAATAAGTTGCCTAGGGGGGTTGTGGAATCTCCAACACTGGGGATATTTAAGAGCAGGTTGGACACACACCTGTCAGGGATGGTCTAGACAGGGCTGGGTCCTGCTGTGAGGGCAGGGGACAGCACTTGATCTCTCGGGGTCCCTTCCAGTTCTAGTGTGCTAGGCAGGAGGTTTGGAAATGGCCAGTCTTGCATTAGGAAGCGTGAGGCTGTGTCCATGTCCCCACTGGAGCGATAGTCCCTCATGAGGCTAAAGAAGCCCCTTTTCCTGGTGGTTTCATTGTGGCTGACGATTGTTGCCATTGAAAGTAGGGAGGCTGAGGAGGTGCACGGCCTTTCCCTGCTTCCAGATTGCTAAACAGGAGAGCAGCTCATCCATGCGAAGCAGAAGGAGACAGGCCGGATGCAGGATCACTGCACGTGTCCTGAGGAGAGAGCGAAAGAGGCACAGACGGAAGGAGGAAAACGATCTTAGGGGAGGGAGAAGGACTGTGAGGTGTGAGTGTCCCAGAAGAGAGAATGGTCAGTAAGTTGACAGTCTGCCTGAGGCCCTGCTGAGGTAGGCAAGTGCAGAGCCGGGCTGGCTGCATTTCAGTGTGGCGTGCAAGGGGTGGGACATGGCTACGAGCTGGCTTGCTAGCATTCCCCAAGGGCCTACCTGCACAGCTGTACACATGGGGCCTGGTTACTACATCTGCCTGGGGAGCGCAGGGTGGTGGGTTCAAGTTCCGCCCACCCTGGGAGCTGGCTCTGGCATTTGGAAAGCAGGATAATGGACCTGCTGAAGATAGGGAGGTGGAGTGGGATCTCCAGTGAACTCGGGGATAGGGCATCAGCCTCTGGAGCTCATGATGGTGGGCTCATTCCCACCCCGCTAAGCCCACTGAGGCAGCGGCCTGGCAGCCAACACCAGTTGCTCCAGGGATGGAGCTGTTAGGAAAGCAGAATAATGGACATCCTGAAGGTAGGGAGGTGGGGTGGGTTCTGGAGTGGCTTAGGGATAGGGCCTTAGTCCATTCCCCCCCAGCAGCCCGCGTCCCACTCCACCCACCCT